GAAGCGAGCTTTACTTTTTAAATAAATACTCCTTTAATTGCAATCGATTGACGCTATTGAAAAATCGGGCCCTCGATTTTAGCTCACTACTCTGCAAAACCGACTCCGAAGAAAAACGCAATTTTTTAAAATGAAAAACAGCTGCAGCGGTGACTAACGTTGCTGCGTCATCGACGTTGAGCGGCGGGCGAATGCTCATTAATGCCGATACCCTAGATGATCCTTATCGTGCAATTCGGCGCACGGAGCACCACTTTTTTTTTTTCAGTCGCTGTCCACATATAAGCATTACAGTCAGAGCTGAATCCACGACTTAGCATTCATCAGAGCAACAAAATATTCGTTTAAATACCACAGATAATATACATAACGAATCGTTACAAAGTACGTGAATCAATACTGTAAAACATTTGACTACAACTTCGCTAGAAAGAATCGCTCTGGCCTCCTGAGCCCAGAAGTTTTTTTTTGGAAAAGCACCGCCATCGTTTTGTCTTATCCGCATATAACACATACAATCTAGAATTTGCATCGCAGCTGGTTTTGACGAATAATGCGTGTAAATATGGCATTACATACAGCAGAGAAAAACAGCACGTCATTCATTGCAAATCACTGTAGAGCTGTCTTCTCCGCAAGCACACCGTTCATGCGGCAAAGCTGACTTTAGAAAACGGCGTTTTTTTTTTTTGTTATATTGTGAATCGTGTAAGGAAAGGCTGCCTCTTACGCATAGCCCGCGCCTTCGTTAAAACGACGTGGCGTCAAGACGACGTGACGTGACGACGTGACACAAGATGCTTCTCACGCAAGCAGTTTAAAAATCAATATTTCCCTACAAACTCGTAGTCGACGAGACATAGCCACTTGTCCTTGTTCCACAGATGTGTTTATCAAACGAATCCATCAAACTTGCCTTTAGTGCGCGCATCCTGCACATTACAACATCTTCATAACAACTTCAGTTATCAGCGCATTTATGGGAACACGGACGTATTTAACTCATCAGCCTGGCCACGAAGCAATTCGATTATGGAATTCCTTTCCTAACAACACTGTCGCACAAAGATAAATTTAGGGAACTTCTAAGGCTGCAGTTCTCATCGTAACAGATATTCACATTCACCATGTTTACATTCGTTTTGTAACGCATAATGCAAACTTTCTTTTTAGTGTTTTTTCTCTTCCTCTTGTGAGCAAAGTGCCAAGCTGTGTGGTACCATGAAACTGTCGTTCTTTTTTTCTTTTTAGCTGGGTGTTTCTAATTATTGTTGTTTACTTGTTCTAATTTGAGCACTGCTTCGCGAACAGTTTTCTGTAGTTTGTGCTTTGTTGTTTTTGTGTCTGCTAATGCTATATCAATTTTTAGCATCATTCTTTTTGTACGAGACCAATGCACCACTGGTTTTGTAACAATGCATAATATTTACTCATGACTTCTTTTTTAGCAGTCTTAGTATATTTTGTCCAGTAATTCCTTATTACATCGCAGTGCCAGTACGTCATCCATGTATGCTCTTTGCATACTCAAGTATAGGTTTCTTCTGCTTTCTCGTGTTTGGTGATGCTGCCGTTACTCAATGCTCCCCATGAGGCTTGTAAGGTACTATTAAACAAAAATAAATAAATACATTTATTGATTGATTGATATGTGGGGTTTAACGTCCCAAAACCACTATATGATTATGAGAGACGCCGTAGTGGAGGGCTCCGGAAATTTAGACCACCTGGGGTTCTTTAACGTGCACCCAAATCTGAGCACACGGGCCTACAACATTTCCGCCTCCATCGGAAATGCAGCCGCCGCCGCCGGGATTCGAACCCGCGCCCTGCGGGTCAGCAGCCGAGTACGTTAGCAACTAGACCACCGCGGCGGGATAAATACATTTATATAATGTATACATGTATATTTTATTTAGATATCGAAAAGGCCGCCTGTTAAATGGTACCGCCAGGTGACTGTTTCGCGAATTCCCCCCCCCTCCCCCCCCCCATTTTGCTTTCACCACCTTCACTGTCCCGGTCATAGTGGGACGCAATGTCGTCAATCTCCGACAGCGAGGTGACTTTGAGACCTCTGTTTTTGGGGAGAAACTCACAGCATTTGGAGTGTATATTAAAAAATCATCACAAACTTTATTCGGAGAACATGCGAAATAATACTGAAACTGCCATGGCGTCATGGTACAAGGCAGAAAATGGGTAGATATACTGAAGTTAAAGAGCAAAAGAGCAATCCTTACAGCGATTGGGCAAACGGTGATGACGGATGTCTTACAACTAATCATTTCCCCGTTAGCGTTGCAGTACAGCGCTTATGTTTGCGTCTATCTATGTGCGCGTGTTTGCGTTGACGCAAATGGCCCGAGTTGACGCAAATGCGTGAGAAACACTCGATGTAATGCCTACAGGAAGAGCAACAAGCAAGTGACAAAGGAGTAGGAATATAATACAGCAATAATGGAAGGATATCAGCAACCACACAATCCGTTAGACACACTGGCGTCATATTTTTGTTTTTCTTATTTGTGCGCTGAGAAAGTATCCTCCAGAAAATTAGACTATTCGACAGCTTCTTCAGTGGCCCCGGCGGGCATAAGCAAATGTCGTAAACGTGCACAAGCTTGCTTGAGTAGCAACACTCACGCAACTGCACTTGCACTGCACTCACGTGCCCAAGGTATAAACGTGCCAGTACACTTGTCACTACCCTCTCAACTTGCATTTCCTACGAATTTGATGAAGCGAAAGTTGAAAAGAAAAAGTATTCAACACCACTAATTTACTGCCCAGGAAATGCGCAGGTCCCAGGTTCGATCCCCAGACCAGGATGAATTTTCCGGCAACTAAGAAGCCTCTCTTTCTGATAAATCCGTATTTCCTTGTGGCTTCGCGCTACAAGCGGGTGGTTGTCTTCGTTCCCTTTTTTAACCATTAATTACCTACACTTGAAATGGCACGTGCGCCGAGCCCCGGTGTTCACAAACGTATTCAGTTAGGTTTACTCACAGTTGCAAAAAACCACAAGTTGCATTTTCGGTGCTCAGGCGGAACAAACGTTTTCTAAATGACGCTGTCTAAATATGTCACCAGAAAGTTACGCCGGTAGAACAAGAAAATTATTAGCATAAACATGTTTTTATGATGCTGCTGCTATTTCATTCATCTTCGACTGTCATTTTTTGTTTGGTCTTTTCGTTTCAACTGCGCAGGCATGTAATGCATGGTTTGATGAATAAACTTTTGTTGTAAGTCAGCGCTGCTGTATGTGTCCCTTGCCTGGACTCTCGTCTGTCGAGCTGTTTCCCTCCAACAAGGAAATTACGATTTAACATGGCAGAGAGCACTTCCATTCGTCTGCTGCAATATACGACACAAATGCAACGCTAACACCCCCGCCCACACTTTGTACATTTTACTGTAATTTGAACGAGCGCACCCACACCCCCAAAATTCCATTGCGGCCGCGCACTGCTACACGAGAAAGTGAAGCGTACTTTGGAAATGATGGTAATGGCGAAGGCTACATTAATAGGTCAACATATATTTGTTAGATCGGGCAATGTTTTGTAAGTATTAATGTGTTACGGCTACAAGCAGTCCTTAAAATGAACACCGCGTGCAAACGCGACAGCTGCGCTCATTGCGCGGCGTGTAATGAACACGCCCCTGGCGGTCGTGACTGTAAACTGCCTGGGAGCGAGAATAGCAGAGCAGTTTTTGGTCGTACAGTATGTTTTTGTGCATAAACTAATAACAAAAACGAAACTTTAAAAAAAAAAAAACGCCGTGAGCTCAGCTTCCGATAATGACTTACTCTCCAGCCCCTGCAACCGAGGTTAGAGACTCCGTCGCAGCGAAGTGAGTTCGGCGAAAGCATTCGCCGGCAAGTGCGCTTTCCAGCTAGTGTCACTAAGCATTCCTGCGTGACACCGTCTGACTGAACATAGTGACGAAGCGCGCTCTTGTGTGACAGTGGTCTAAAACGGGTTCGGGTGTGAATCGCTCCAGCAATTGCGAGATGCTTGTTTCAGTGGCATTACAGTGTAATATATTTCCGTTGTAAGACGCTTTAAGGTGAACTAATGTAAGGCGCTGAATTCTGCCCCGGTAAAAGTTGTGTGCGCGATTTTTGAATACCTTGCCGCAAATCTACAAAACTTAACTAGGCAGTTATTCAGGACTCGTTTGCTGGATTCCGTGCCGACCGGTTGTGCCCTCGCGATATCCGACGTCAGCGTAGCTCTGGCCGACTGGGCTCGCCCTACGTCATCTCCTGACGCCGACCTCCGACGACAGTGTAGCTATGACCGATTGGACTTGCTCTACGCCACCTCCTGACGCCGACAAAAGCTCTCGCAAGTGGTGCCCCGTCCTCGGACTCCTGTGACCGTGTTTCCATATTTCCTATCTCTCCCATCCCTTCGATATGTCGTCGCTCTCTGGCTTACCACCTCACGCCTCTTTCTCTCTCTCTACATCTTTATTCCTACCCTTTTAATCCCTCTTCACCCCCATCCCTTGTGAGGTATACTGTTGAGGTGTCGCTCGCTGAAGAAGACAGTTACGAAGCTCACTTTTCTTTTCCTTTCTCACTTAGAACCACTTAGAGAGAGTAATTCAGAACTAATACAGCGCACTTCGTCTTTGCACTTAACATTGTCTAAAGCTATATGAAAACTTAATCTCTATGCCTGCTGCACTGTCCGACACAAGTGCACACGTTTTAATTTGTTTATTCGACTGCCTTACTTGACACGTACACTGAAAGAAGTTTGCCAAGCTTTTCTCAGGAACTATCGTGGTTATCTTCATAAGTCCAGCCATGAAGGTTCTCTGACAATATCTAGGCGTTTTCTGTCTTTTAACGCGCGTAATGCTCTATGTGATGCTGACTTTGATCAGCGCCTCGATGTGCCCCGAACAGAGTCCTACACAGTGCAAGAAATACGCTTCGACACAAAAAACACAATATAAACACATAAAGTAAGACGTCTCACCTGCAGTTCGCGCACCTCCTTGTCGAGTCGCAGCCGCTCAGCCGTCTCGGCCTCGAGCATCTCGGCCGCCTGCGCGGACGCCGCCTGCTCCTGGCCCAGGTCGGTCCAGAGGTCGCTGACCTGCGAGCGAGGAGCTGCTCCTTGTAGTGGTCGACCACCACGGCTTGCCGGGGCTCGTGGCCCACGTCGTGGTGCGCAGCGGCGGCATCTGAGCCAGCCGAGAGCGACGCGCGCCACTGAGACTGCCCACGGAGAGCCGCTGCTGGGAGCCGGAGCGGTGGACGAGCGAGGACCAGGCGCGGGGGCACTCCTCGGCGTCCGCCGCGCTCTCGACCGACACGGAACGAGAGCGCAGGGAGACGCCGCCCACGACGTCCGACGGCGTGGACGTGGCCGTCGAGGAGAGCGCGGCGTCAGAGTCCCAGCTCAGGCTGCTGGGTCGAGAAGACGCGAGCGAGTCGCGCCGGTAGCCGACGCCGCCGAGAGAACTGACGCCGCTTGTAGAAGCCTCGGACACATCCTCGGGGCCGTCCGTGGATCCGTTGCGGCTCGCCAGGGAGGCGAGCGAACTCTTACGCGAGGCGCTGTCCAGACGCGTGATGGTCGAGGTCGTCGTCGACGAAGATCCGCGCGAGGTGGGCGACGAAGACTTGGGGGGAAGCGGCGAAGGCGTTCGCAGAAGAATCCGCAAATCGCGAATGTCCACCGTTTGCATCTTATCCTCATGTTTCTTTTCGGTTTCCTTTGCGACACTGACAGACTCTTGCCGCTGGGAAGCCTTGTTGTCTCCGAGGACAGAGTCCGGCTTCGAGTTGCGTTGATTTTTCATCGCTGTGTTACGCTCAATGCAGGCATCAGTTTGGCGAAGCGCAGTGGACTGCTCAGAGGCACTGCTGTTAAGGGTGCCTTCTTTCGAGATGTGGTGATCGGAGTCCTGTGATGAAAGGGTAGTCGTAGCAGTTGCTGTAATAGCACCATTCGTATCCTTCTTAGAGACAGGAACGTTTGCTGCATTATCGTTCGTCATCGTGTTATCTTTATTCGAGGAGCTACTCTTCACATCGGCAAGAGGAGAATGGGCGTCATTCGTGCCAGCCGTTGAAAGCTTTGCTTCGTTGAAAGAAGCCGAGGCACTTGCTGCATCGCACGTTTTTTCCACACTAGCCGATTTCTCATCGGCTTGGGAAACGTTGCCAGGAGAAGCGGACGCCTTAGAATGTGACGGCTGCTGCTCCGAGACACCGGTTGTTGGCTTCTGATCAGTGTTTCCGCACTCTTCCACGGTCACGGACGCCCGAATACGCAGCGGCTGAGACTTCCGACGAATGGGCACGGTGGAAGCCATTTTCTTCGGAGGCGACGTCGCCTTGCGCAACTCGGACGCCTTGTTTTCAGCAACGAGTGGCTTCTTCACATCTTCGGCATTGGATGGCGGCGCCGGCTTCGCGACTGAGTCCGACGGCTGGGCGTCGGCAGAGTCAGTCTTTTTCGCCACGGAGAAGAAGAGGCAGCGGCAGACAAGGAAGGCTTCCTGGTTATCCTGAGGGTAGTCACCGGCGCCGACGGCTTGCGCGCCGCTGTCGAATCCCGGCGGCCCAGGTCGCCGATCGTCGTCACCACCGTAGGTGCTCGCGGTGCTCATGCTCGCCGCTGTCGTCTTCGAGGGCGAACTCCGCGGACTCTTGGTGGGCGACGAGGTCTTTCTGGTGGCACCAGGCGTCGCCGCCGTTTCCCCCGCGTTGACGTCACTGGCAGACGTCACGCTGTCTATTTCCGACGAACCACCGCCACCAGCACAGCTGGACGCGACCTTGGCTTTGACGCCGGACAGCCGTCTCTCGGAAGGCCTTCGAAGCATGGCCTGCGAGAAGACAGGCGTCGATCCGCGCCTCGTGATCTCTGGCGGCGGCGGTTCCTGCTGCCGCGCCTTGAGCCTGAGCAGCGGCTCGGCCACAGTCTTGGTCTGGCCCAACTTGAGACGGGTCTCCATGAACGAGTTGTAGTGGCGTTCTTTCTCCACGTCCTTGGGGTCGGAGCCCCCGGAGTCGTCTGCCCGGCGCTGGTTCTCCCCTTCCGCCGGGGCGACGCCGCTATTCTGGGAGGAGAGGGCCGCGCCACCCTCCTCGCCACGCACTTTGCCTTTTGCGGCATTATGCTGCAAGGGCGTGCTGTCACCGCCAGATTCGCCAGCGGTACTGGCTCCGGTCCAAGCGCCGCCGCTAGCTTGGCGACTACCGACGCCCCTTTCGCTGCCACCGCAGTTGTCCGCGGACGAGGTCGGGAGGGGCTGGTCGCTTCGCCGAGATTTGTTGTCGTCGATGCTCGAGGTCCTGCTGCTCCAGGGCGATCGCGGCGACTGCAGGCCGTCGTCACTACTGACGCTGCCGCCTTTGGACAGCGTCCTGCCCGTGGGAGTCGCGACGGGCTTCAGCGAGTACGGAACAGTGAAAGGCATCTCGACGTCCTCGCACCGTCTAATCCAAACAATCCCGGATTCAGTAGTGGCGGTGCCAAGTCAGGAAGTGCCCTCGCTTGCGGACACTAATCCTTTGTCACGCATGTCCAGAATAGCGCTCGGTCGTTCGTCAAGGAAAGGTCGTTGTCGTCGTTTCTCAAAAACGGGTAAGCGGAGGGTTCATTTTCGGAAGACGCACAGAAAAGCCGCGTCGCTTCAGGCGCGCTTGGCGAGAAGGCGGGCTCTAAACTGGGAGTTACTCGGAGAAAGAGCGCGAACACAGCAAAAAGCCGCGAAAGCTTGGAAGGTAGAGATGAGGCCCTCTCAATCGGAAGCCTGAGTAAACCGAAGTGCGCTCAAAGCGTGTTATCCTTTCAGCTTATTCTGCGCGAACGTCCAATATCGAAATAAACCAGAAGCGCTATGCGAAAATAATGCAACAGATGTAAATCGTAAGCCAATAGCAAAAGCAGCTGAAGCCGACTCAAGCGTCACCGTTTTACGATACCACAGTCGGATATCCCAGCTGGCGGACGAACTCTGCAGAACATGGAAGAGCCAGCGAAATCCGTCCGGTTGTAGCCGTTCCTGCTTGCGGAAGGCGCGATGTAGTCCGGCGATAGCAATGATGCGGCCGGCCGTCACAACAGGAGGCCGAGATCGCGCGCACTCGGGTCGGGGCGCAGGCGAGTATGCGTTTCCGACGCGGGCCGGCCCGACGCTCGAACCGCACGCAACCGAGACGGGGAGAGGATAGAACGAGGTGTGCAGCCGCAAACGTGCACGCAAGCGAGCGCTAGAGCAGTGGCCCGGCGCGCAAGCGTCACCGAGCGGGGACCTCAATCGCGTGCGAGGGGAGCGAGACAGGTGACGTCGTCTCGAGACCGAAGCCGGGTCTTGAGTTAGCCGCCTGGGAAACGCCGAGGCAGCACCGTTGGAGCCCGGCGGTTAGGTGCGAAGAGAAGGGCCAGGGGGGAGGGGGGCTTGTTTGGGAGCGAAACAAAGTTTTTAAAGCGACGGACGGGCAGGCACGGACGATTTCGAAGCGGGCATCAGCAACCAGAAGGCGAAGCACGGAGAATAGTCCCAGGCGGAGCGAAAATATCGAAAGCAAGAAAAGAACAAAAAATCAGAAAAGACGACACGGCTTGGCAGCGCAAGGCCGTTCGTCGGCGAGGCATGAGGCCGTTCGTTTAAAGGGGTGCGAGAAAACGCAATATGCTTCAACGAGAAAAAGAAAGAGCTGTCTGTGTGGGGACGCAGCGCGAGCGACGAAAGCGCTTACACAGAGAAAAAGCGCGATGGGTCCGGGGCTCTGGCGTTGGCCCCCCTTTCTTGGCCCCGGTCCCAGAGAGGCCGGGGCGAGAGAAAGGCGCCTCCTCCCGCCACGAGGTGTAAGGAGACCCTGGCGGCCGCGGGGGGCGCGCTATTTCCGTGCCCTGGCCGGGGCTATAGAGACGGCGCCCTCTTCTCCCATCCAGGGTTTCCGTTTCCGTATAAAGAGCGTTTTCCCGACGGTCGCGGTCGTCGATACTGGCCACGCGGACAGTTCGGAGGACTTATCACCATCACGCGGTTGCGTGTCCTCCTGTCACAGCACCGATGTAGATTATAGACTACTTGCACGGGTAGTGAAAAATTTGACATGGGTGCAAGAGAATTCGAAGTGACCGACGACGTGTGCACTGAAAGAAAGGATCGAACTGCAGTTTTGAGACGGTAGGGCTGACCAATGGACTGGATGGAGTACGACGAGATACAGAGCCAAAACACCAGGAACAAGACTCGGAGGAAATGGCGCAAACTATCGTATAAAAGCTCCATTGCTTGTCTCACCTATTCTTTGTCTGTCATCCTGATTTCTCTTGAACTTCTCAATTTAATGTAATGAACCAACTACACCCAACTAGGCTTTTTCGAACTGCTTCGGAGTATTTCGTAGCGTGACAACACTCGAAGTGATCTGAGTTGAGGAAACGTGGACGCCATCACACAGATCTCAGCGGAAGGGTCAATAATGAAAAGGAAGCCCACGAACGTGGTAACTAGTGAACAAGAATCATCGAAAAGACTAAAAAAGTAAGCAAGCCCACCCCCTCCCCCACCAAAAAAGAAAAAAAAACATCCAGCAAACGCCTACATTCTTTTCGAATGCTGATCAGTCAATAATTGCCGCACCGAAAGTGCGCCGCCAAACATTGCCACTGCACACAGCAGCGAAGAAAAATAATTGCGGTTTTATTTCAGATAAAACGAGCGGTCCACACCAGCTGCACAGCAGTCGTCAAAAGCTACATATCGCAGTCAAACCACATAGCGTTATAAATTAAATGTCAATTGCGTAAAAATCGTTAAGAGCAGATGTGTGGGAGCCGTTGTTTCGGCACGTGGACTTTCCTTATTCAAGGCCGCCTATACTGCAGCACATACACGCGCCTTGAAGAAAAATCCGCTTATCGAAACGTCCGCTCCAGCACACAACTCCAGTTTACGCATGATTAGTCACCGCTCGCAACTTCCTCTAAATATTGCCGGTTTTTTTTTCTGACGCCAATTGCTTGAAATGCAAGTTGGGTATTGCAGTCCTGCTATTCTAAATAGCATTTAGCGACCATATTTATCGATATGACCGATGACCACACTCATAATTGAAGTTGCTATTTCT